CCCGAAGTCAAGTCCAACCCCACTCATTGTCTATCGCCTGCCTCATTTTTCCACCTGACATCTGTCACTCCATGAAATCACCAAATGGTCATTTGTAACTTCTTCTGCATCTCTCCATCCTGCTCCCACCTCCTGCCCCCAGGGTAAGCTCCACCTGGGTCACAGGTTGTAAGCACCATATCTTGAACTCCTGGCACATAGCAGGTGCTTAGGAAGTACTTCACTTAAAAAAACGAATGGTAAGATGTATCATGGGTGAGAGGAGGCTTTGGTCTCTAAGGTATCTGAGGCATCCCACAGTGGTCCAGGAGGCTGCTGGGCAAGGAGAAGTGGAGACTCAACGCAGATAAAATCAGACTCCAATTCTGCTGCTGGTACCTGGTATCGATGTGTAAGTGACCTAACATCTCTCAGTCTTATCATCATTGGAAAAATGAGAATGGGAGTACCTATTCACTGGGTTGTCACCGGATCAAGGAGATGCTTCAGGTTTATGCTGGCAAGCAATGTCCCCAGTTCTGGAAACTGCCTGCTACCCTTCCATAAATGCTTGCAAGATGAATGAAGGGTCTACAATGTAAGAGCTTAATAAATATCAGGGGCCCAAGCTGCCATTTATATCAGACACAATTATTTCCTGAAGCACTAAGAAAAAAATTTAAATGTTGCTAATGAAGCCATGACCCATTCCTTTTAGATGACCTGGGACTGTTTTTTATTTACCCAAAGATCTCTTTTAGTCTTATTAGGACTTACATTTTTAATCGCAGATCATTACTAAGTTTACATTTTTAAAAAGTGGGGCAACTGGGAATGTAAGTCAGTGATAGAGCACTTGCCTAGCGTGCATGCACAAAGCCCTGGGTTCAATCCCCAGCTCTGAAAAATATATAAGTATATATTTTTAAAAAGAAAGAAAGAAAGAAAGAAAAGAAAACTACTAGGAAAATCCATGAGTTGAGGTGTTCCTTAAATATTTTCAAGGTCAGAGCCACCTCTCTGATTTGATATCCTCCTTCCACCCATACCCTTTTACCACCTCCCCACTACCTGGTTTCTGCTTCACAGGTGAGCAGATCATTGTTCCTTCTAAGCAGTCCCCTGCCCCTACCCCACGAGTTCTCACACCTCTTGGAGGGCATGCGCTCTCTGCKGCTTCTCCTTAGGCTTCCTGCTTTGCCCACCCAGGGTTTGTGTCTGGGAGGCTAGGGGTCTTCAGGGTCCATCCCCAGAATGGCCTCCTTGGCAGTACAGGGGTCCTGGAGTAGCATGGAGCCCACAGTGTCTGATACCCTCTTCCCCCACTGTCATAGGAACCTCGAGATGAGAAATGGACCATGCTATCTTAAAAGTGAGAAGTAGGARAATTAAACTTTTGGAGTCATACAACTGAGCCACCTCCAGAAGGCAGGGGCAGGGGTCCGGAAGGGAAGGTTCTATCCTTAAGAGATCTCTGACGGCCCTTATAGCAAATAGGGCTGGGAGTGAGGATCCACCAGGGTCCTGGCCAGGGGACTCTCAGCATGCAGCCTCAGGTGTACTGGCCCTGTGATTCTGTCACCGTTTGCCTCACCCACTGGCTGGGAATGAGGAGTCCGGGCTCCCTTACCTGAGCAGTGGGGCTGGGGCGTGTTGGAGAACTTTCCTGCAGCTCTGCGTTCCCCTCCTGCAGAGGCAGAGCTGGGGACCGGGACAGAAGCTGATTTTCTTGGGAACTAGGGACCTGGACAAGACTTGGGGTGGAGGTTCCTAGCAGGGGCTATCTCTTGACTTCATTCTCCTGCCGTGTGGCTTCTGGGGTAGGGACTCCCTGGTTTGTGGAAACGAAATCAGGCCGCAGGGCAAAGGTAAAGAGAGAAAGTGCCAGGTTTCTGCTGGCATCCGGGAGGTTGGGGACGGTGGCAAGACAGTGGAACTGAGAGGTGGCATTTTGGCCCCTCCCAGCTGGCCTCAGTTTCCCGTGAACCCAGTCAGAGAGCGCCCTCCKGCTCCGGGAAACCTAAAACTCGACTCAACCCCCCGGGTAACTTCGCCCCCTCCACCCGCTTTTCTCCCACCTTATAAAGTTCCCACCAATGACCCTCCGGGGGAATCCAAAACTAGGAAAGGGAGAACAGAGCCCTAGAGGAGGGATCGGGTACCCGTGACGGCCCTGGCGGCGCTGGGGCCTTGCCTGGGGCTTGCAGCGGACCCGCCGTAGACGGGGTCCGCAGGAACAGGCCGTCGCTGGGCCGAGCTGAGTGCCACCTACAGCTCCAGGACCCTCGCTTCTCTTCCCTTCTACGGACCAGGAAAGCGACTTGCTTTGGGGCCAGGGACACCGAAAGTCGGGATGTGATCCAGCACCCGCAACCCGGGTCCTTCAGCCAGTTTTCCCCCAAAGTCTCCCTTACTGTCCAAACCACCTCGAATCCAGCACCCCGAGGGCACACTCCGCGGTGTTGGGGAGCGCGGCCGGCCGCCAGGCTAATCCCCACCCTCCCACCGCCCCCGGCCCTTCCTTTCGGGAGGGTCCCGTAGGGGGCACGTGCTACCTCTTTGCCCTCGGGGCCCGGCTACGCAGGGCGCCAGAGCCCGCCCCTCCCCCAATCTCGGGCCGGGGGTGGGGGGAGTGGTGGACTCCGGGGAGCGCCGCGGCGACTTTGGCCGCGGGTGCTGCCTCCGCGTTTTGTTTCCCAGGACCTTGGGGCGGAGTAGAGGCTTGTGTGTCTAGAGTCCAGAAGGAACCGGAGCGAAGTGCGCAGGAAGGGGGTCTCAGCACTTGGTGGCCGAGCCGGGTGGCCCGCAGGCCGGTCCCTGGGAGCTAGGGAAGACGGGATGCGGCCCTTTACCCCGAGTCTGGGCTTTGCGTCTGCTTCGCGCCTACGCTTYTCCCGGGAGTGACTTGAAGCTTCGATCGGGTCTTAGGAATTCTCCCAACCAAGAAAGCCCCCAGCCGTCCAGATAGGACAGGCATTCAGCCCACTCTTCGGTCGCTTCCAGGGCTAGTTCTTTGGTTTCGGTSTCGGATCCATAGAACCCAGGAGCATAGGGACGCAGTCTAAAACTCCCTCTCCCTACTCCCGCCTGCCCTCGAATCCGGACCCCCTTTTTTGAGGCCCAGCTTCCCCGCTGACTGGCTGGTGACCTCAGGATCGGAGTTCTGGAGTCAGGTTCCCCATCTGTGCCTGGAAGGAGCTGTGCTCATTGAAATGTTGAGGTCTTAGTGCTCGGTAGCCAGATTCCCCTTTTCCACCTCCTAGAGCTCCGGTGGGAGAAGGACTGATTGCTTGATCCAGGCCAGTGAGGGGCTGCCCTGGGGAAAGCCTCAGATGCAGAGTGTAACTAATTTGTGTAATGTTGTATTCCTCAAATTTAGTAAAACTTCGAGAATCCTCAAGGAACTGTGATCACTGGGGTCAGACAGTGCCCCCCACCGCCCCCCCCTTGCCCATCTTAAATCTTCTCTGGATTCCACCCTCTTCCTTCCACAATTCTGCAGAGTTGACAAAAACATAGCTGGAGTCTCAGTTCCCCTGGCCTCCTGGTGACAGAACTCCACCTTCACTTTGCTCTCCTTTGAACTATAAAGGATTAAACTAGTCCTGAAAATCACCTGGTTGCCAGAGTCTGGTATGAGAAAGTTATTAAGCACTGATTGCTAGGTTGAACTGACCTGGATGTAACCTCAAGGGCCGGAAGGAATTAGGGGGCACAGTCACACATTGCTGATTCCTTCTTTCCAGGAAGCCAGGGTCCCACAGTCTTCCTTGGACCCCTAGGGAGGGGGGAGTAGAGGCCTGGGCAAGTTGTCCAGGAGCTGTTTGCAAGGCTGACTTAAGAGCCCCGAGCCTGCAAGAGATCATTTCCCAGAGTTTTGGCAGAACTGGACACAGAATCCCCTACAGCCCTCAGAAAGTATGGGCTCTCTTCTTTCTCAATCCTTTACAGCTAGCTCCAAGTTGGAGATTCTAGGGAAGAGAAGTCCAAGGGCTGGTTCTAAGAAGGGATGGACTAGCAGATACATGAAAAGGAAGCCATCATCCATGTAGGTCTGGGACATACCTGACCATTGCCACATTCTGAAACACAAAGCCTACAGCTCAGGAGTGTGAATATCCTGGACTCTTCCTCATATTTGGGCTTTGAAACCTGGTCCTACTGGGAAAGGCATGGCCAAGTTGTGTCACCTTCCTGAGCTTTAACCAGTAAAGTGGCCATCTTCCATTCCCACCCACCCGGAAGTGTCTTGAAGCTTCAATTGGGTCTCAGGAATTCGCCCAACCAAGAAAGCCCCCAGCCGTCACCATAGGAGGCACTGGACAGAAACCCACATGTAAGCTTTGAGAACAGCCTAAAAACACCCTCCCGTGAGGAGGGGTGCCAGCGGGCACATGCTGCCAAGCTATGCTCCTTAAAGCGTCTATCTGCCCCAACTGTGGTCTCGGGCAAATAGTAGTCTTCCCTCGCTATCCAACAGGTGCCCTCACTGCACGGAGCCAAGTCTCTGTGGCCCAGACACCACCCTGCTGCGTGTGCAGCGGAAAATGTGCAAACAGGTATGCCCTGCTGCAAGAACTCAAGTGCTGTCTGCAGCTGAAGGCTCTGGGGGAACCCGAGCTTCTGGTTCGCTTCAAAAGGGGCTGATCAGGACCTTTCCAAGGACCACACAGTGGGTAGTCTTTCAAATCCCTGGAGACAGAACCAAAAACCTATGCAGCTCTGAACTGTGGGCCACTTCCGAGTCCCATGGGGGACTGCATTGGCGATGGGCCGCCAGGCTGGGAAGGAAGGAAAATGGAGTTCAGCTGAGCCTTGGCGCCCAGAGTGAAAAGGATTGGTAGAATCCTGCAGCAGCCGAGCAGCCTGCCCTTCCTATCCCGGGTCCCAGGGAGCAGGGCACCCCTCACCTCCACTGAGCCAGAGAATAGGATGTTCTAGAAGCGACTGCGAGTGCCTTTCTTACCTTGCCTAGACCTCCAGCCCCCGTGGAATCTAGAAGGCCCCGCAACACACCCCACTGTGTCATAAAATATTTTATTGGAAAAAAAAGAGTCACCGTCTTCGCAAGATGGGGGGTAGGAGCCCCAGCGACATCGGGGACCCGGCCTCAGGCCGAGCCGCTGAGTTATCCCGGCGCTGTCTCGGGCTCCGATGCCCTGCGCCCGGCCGCTGGGTCCCCGACGCGAGGAAGCGAGTGTGTGCCTGGCGGCGTCCAGGACCAGAGACGGGGTGAGGGTGTGGGCAAGGAGCAGGGCGTGAATGCACGTGGAGCGCATGGCGCCTCGGAGCTCCAAGGAAGACGAGTTGCTTCCTCGGCGATGGACGTCCCAAGTAAGGACCAGAGCGCGCCGGGGCCTGGGTTTGGCTTCAGGGTCTCTGTCCTTCCTTGTTTGACCCCTGATTGTCCGCATTYAAAGTAATAATAAAATGCTTAGAAAGCAAACGGTGGGGACGAGAAGGGACGGTCCGCAGGTTTCCGCGGACTCAGGCGGCCACTACTTCTCTGGCTCCCTGGCTCCGCACTCTGCGGAGCTCAATCCTCGCGGCTCCGGTCGCTGGGCTCGCCTGGCACCTCCGCCGGCTTCTCCGCCTCCTTGGCGCGCTCCTGCTCAGAGTTGCTCGCTTGTGGGGATGGAGTTCTTCTTTGGCCGCCCCTTGGGCTTGGTAGGGGACTCCAGGCCGCCGCCCTGCAGTACCTACACGAAGGATGACCAGTACCTCGATGGGCGGGAGGTGGACTGGGGACCCTTGTGCCCAGCACCCAGGGGTGACGGAAGGACCCAACCGGGTCATCAAGGACCGCTCCCCGCCCCTGGGAAACGGCAGCCATTAGAGAGCCGTTGGGAAGAGGCATCCCCTAAGACGGCAGCGGGGTTCAAGGCCGCCAGCGGAGCTGGGGGCTCCGCGGGACACCAAGGATTGTTGGCCCCCATAGGGCACCCAAAGAGGCAGAGGGTCCTCATATGCACCAGGTAAGGAGGGAATCGGAAGGGTTGGGAAGAGGTCCTCGCGGAGCAGGGAGGAACAGTTCTTGCAGGGCACAGGGGCATGGCCTGGGAAACCGAGGGCCTACAGAGCTACCAGGCACACTCACTATTTTCTTCCACTTCATCCTCCGATTCTGATACCACGTCTTCACCTGCAACTGGCTCAGGCCCAAGGACTCGGCGAGATCTATTCTGGAAAGAGCAGGGCGCACCTTCAGCAGGGCAGATGGCCACCCTCCCACCGCCTACTGGCCCCAGCCTTGCCCAACACTACCTGTCGGGCGTGGAGAGGTATTTCTGCTTCTCGAAGCGTTTCTCCAGGCCCATCAGCTGCASCTCGGTGAACACAGTGCGGCTCCGGCGCCCCTTCTTGGCTTTCGTGCTCGGCTCACCAGGGCCTGCGGCCTCCAGCTTCCCGCGGAGCTGCAGCTCCAGCGGCWGGTGCGGCGCACCCGCGGCGCCAGGCAACCCAGGCCCGGCGGCCAGCAGCGCTGAGCCCAACCCGGAACAGCCGAGCGGCGCCAGCGGGAACTTGAACACCGCCGCCTGCTCTGCCTTCAGCACTGCTGCAGGGAGAGAAGAGTGAGCAGCCCAGTGAGCTCCAGCTGCGCTTCTCTGCCTCGGCATCGGCCGCACCAAGGGCCATGGGAGCTTCAGCTCAGAGAATTGAACACGCAAAACCTCCACGCCTGGCTGCCTGGAGCAAGCACATGAGCCACGCGCAAAGATGTGAACTAAGCGCAGAAGACAAGCCTCCTCAATGTTCTGTTCTCGAGTCTGGAAGAAAGGACCTCCCCAACCCGGTGCTCTGCTCTGGCATTCCCCATGCCCCAGCCGCCTCTGGATTTCAGCGTTCCGAGAAACAAGTTCACAGGTCTGAGACGCAAGCAGTGTCTCTTTCGTAAAAAAGGAAATTAAGTAGAGACCGGTGCGGAATTAAGAAGGTGGGCGTCTGCCCCGACCAAATCCGGCTTGCTGCGTTGGGAAAAAGAACCTAAAGGACTGTGCACGGTCACTCTCCTGCTCAACACAGCAGCCACACCGCGGGCTGTGGCCGTGCCATCCTCTGGGATGGGATCGGGCGCTTCCTAGAAATTCCAAAGCACCCTGCAAACACGAAATTTGTGTTCTTGTTTTTCTGTTCAGGCTCTTCCCTGTGAAGATGCTTCCATGTTCTCTAGTCCTAAAATGTTTTTTTGCCCGCTTCAAACGAACTACTAACAAAGCAACAGATAGAAGTGAAAGGCAGCCGAGAGACCGCATTCCAAATGAACTTAGAACGAGCAAACTGGCTCTGCCACCACCGGCGGAACAAGCTCAACCAAGAAGGGATGAAAGGAGTGCAGAAAAGGCGGTTGGTGGGGCTGGGGTCCCCGCCAAGTTTAGTAGGCCTCCCTTCCCTTCAGGCTTCTCTGAGTCAGGTCCTAGTCCCTTGGAAGTAGGAAGGGGACCCAACAAGGTGCAAGTAAAGGTAAGGAGGAGGAGAGGGGAGACGGGAAAAGGACTCTTTAGGGGAAAAGTGGGAGAGGCAGATCTACACAACCGAGAGGATAAGGGAGGCCAAACGCTGAGCAGAGAGTAGATGAGAAAGGTTAAGAAGGCAATGGAGGTGGTGGAGAGGGCACTGCAGGCCAGGACAGGCACCCACCAAGAAAGAGACAGGGTGGGCAAAAACGGTTTGAGCAAGTGGTTCAAGTTCTGCCAAGACCCAGCCGACCTGGAAGTGGAAGGTCCAGGCCGGCAGCGGCTCACAGGCAGGCCTCTTGTTCACCGCAAGGCCCTACGGCAGCAGAGGCCTCGTTTGTCCCCAGCTGCAGCACTGGACTCCAGGATACCCTGGGCCGACTTGGGCCAGTGTCTGTACCCAGCATTGGAAGCCGCGGGCTTCTTCTAGAGGTCCCAGCTACCCGCGTTTGGGTAGTCACAGGCTCCTCGTTGTCAGTTCTTCACGGCGAAGCCGAGAAGCCCACGATCTGAGGTCATTTTGACCCTCACTAATCCGCAGACCGGTCGTTCGCCCGAGATGGGAATGCGGGTTCTGTTCCCCGGGCCCAGCCCCCTATCCTGGGCTGAAGGCCGAAGAGCGGCCAGGCAGCCAAAAGCAAATGCCCTGCCTGGCCTGTCCTTCGGGCACAGAGGCCTGTTTCTACGGAGCCTGTTGCCCGCACTCTCCGCTTCCAGGCTGGAGCGCGCCTAGAAATCTGTCCCGGGGCCTGCGCGCTCAAAGCCACGTCCAGGGACGGTTCTGGGGCCCAGGTAAGAAGGGTAGGTTCTGGGCGCCCCCACGGCGTGGCTCTTACTCTCCCGCTCAGACCGGCCCACAGCCCCCAGGCCCCAAGGCCGCCGCACGTACCCAGGTGGCTGTGGAAGGGCCGCGCCGCCAGCAGCGCCTGCACGCCGAACTTGAGCAGCTCSCCCGCGGCGGCGGCGGCGGCTGCAGGCGCGGCGCCCTTGGGCCCGGACGGTTCGGTGAGGATTTCCTCGATCATGAAGCTTCGGTAGCGGTGTGGCCGGTGATCTGCACAGCCCTCGGGCGGGCCGAAGCGCACGGCGCCCGGCTCCCCGGGCCGCTGCATCGCTGCGCCCGCGGATGCGCCCGCGGCTGGGCAGCGGCGGCGGCTGGGCTCGGGCGCGGGGCCCGCGCGGGGCTCTAGGCCGGCCCGCAGCTCCCGGCCGCGCGCGGGCGCCGGCTCATGCCCCCTCCCCCGCCGGCGGGCCGGGCGGAGGCGCAGGGCGCGGGCGGGGCGCTCGGGGCTCGGCCAGTCGGACCCGGCACTGCGCCCCCGCCCCGCGCTGCCGCGCCTCTAGCCCGGCCAGCCCCGCGTCACCGCCCCGCCCCGCCCGCGCGGCCCCGCCCCGCCCTGCTCCGCTCCGCTCCGGGCTGCGGCCCCCCACCCGCTAAGCGGAGCCGGAGGGAGGAACCCAGAAGGGAGGGAGGAGGGAAGAGAGGAGAGGCCGGCGTGAGAGGGGCCGGCCGACCGAGACCGAAAGAGAACCAGCGGAGCGCACGCCCAGGAAGGACCAACGTAGAACCCGGGAAAGGAGACCCTCCCCTAGAGATGAGACACCGAGGGATCGAGAGAGAGAAAGAGGTGAGAAAAGGTCCAGGCGGTGACAGTGGGGACCAGGAAAGATAAGAGAGTGACGGTGCCTGGGATGCCGTGGAGACGTGTGCAGAGAGAGCGAGAGTCCGCGGCCCGGACGTGCCAGAGGGCACAGAGGCAGGCCTGACAGAGGGAGGGAACAGTAAAGAGAGGATACAGGTAGGAAGGCCCGCGGCCTAGGCAGGGGTTAGGGAGGAGAATGGGCAAAGGCCCCGCATCTCAATTGGGAAAAGAGTGAGGGTGTGCCTCCCGCCAGGGTGCCGGGCCTAACTCCCGCGTAGGGGTGCTGCAGTGGGCAGGGTGCAACTCAAAGAATGGCAGTCGCACCTGTGCTCCACCACCGGGGCCAACCTCGGCCTCAGTTTACCATGATCGGCCTCCTTTCCCTCCGACTTGCCCTGAGCGCAAAACGTTCTGCAGGCGGATTTGATTGAAATGCAAACCCAAGTGATACGTGGACACATTCTCCTTGGCAACACGGGAGCGCTGTGGGCTGGGCTATGTCCTCCTAGTTAGAAGATTCGATGGAGAGGAAGAGAAAGGATGCAACTTCCCCATTTCCCATCTTTGGAGCATCCAAAGGAACCAGGTGGAGCTGAGGGCAGGGATCAGGGGGTGCTCTGAGAGTCTGCCTCCCCATCTCTGAGTCTCAAGGGCTCCTGCAGGACTGAGGAAATCCGCAGCACCTCTTCTAGATCTGTCTGGTAAAGAGAGTATAATCCCAAACCTGAGGTGAACAATCCCAAAGTAAACTCTCTGCCGAGTTTGGAGTTTCCATCCTTTGACTCTGCCACTGCTGGGTAAACCACTGCTGTTTCTGGGCTCCAGCTTTCTGTCCCTTCCAGAAGAGATATACTTGACACCAAGGAGTTTGTGAGGACTGAGGGAGGGGGTCCTTACCCAAGACCCACAGGATCTCCTGATTAGGAGGGCAGGGTGTACCTAGGAGGCAAGAGGAGGAGCGGTTGTCCTCCCCTTCGCACTCCATAGACTGGGTCCTACCTCCAGCCCCAACCACCACCATCAGTCAGCACCTGGCTCCCAGCTGGTGTCTTAAACCACTCCTGCTTCCTAAGTGAGCTCCACACGGAGCCTAAGTCCTCACCTCTGGGAAATGGGCAGCATGCCCTGCCCCCTCCCTAAGCTGATGCAGTTTCTTCAGTTCAGTGGATGGCCAAGGGGCGATCTTGACGGCCCTCGACCGTGGCAGCTGGCCCAGACTCTGGGGAGACTAGGAGATGGCCAAGACCCCTTGTTCATAGGGACTGGGGTAAAAGACAAAGAATGTCTTACCAGAGGCTCTGAGCCACTGCTCCCCAGTTGTTGGGTGACTTTCTGAATCCTAGAGTCATCATCATGACTGAAGGATGGTGGCCTCTGTGGCCTCCAGTTGTTGCCAACTCCCCAGGGTAAGTGGTGCAATGAGGAAAAATGGTTCTTTGGAAGGGGTGATGTGAGACCTACTAAGAGTAACAGTGGCCCACACCAAGGAGGCCTCTGAGTGATCAAGCAGTAGGGGCCGTGTTACGGCTTCTCTTGGCCCAGCACCCACCCCACCTCTGCCTGGGCCAGCAGAGGAAAGCCAATTTCTCTTGGGGTCCTCAGCAGCTCAGAGGGGCTCTCCCCAGTGAGTAGGCACAAAGAACCCTTCCCTAGATGGGGAGCCCAACCACCTCATTTTTCCAATGGGCAATTGAGGCCAGCAAGAGACAGGGACCTACCCAGGCACCCCAGTGTCTAGGACTGTCTTTCCATGGCCCTCGGTCTCAGGGTCTTTCCCCTGGCCTCCACCCTCCCCATCCCAGTGTCCTTTGCCTCCTCCTCTTCCTCTCTGCTTTCACACCTTCCAAGGGGCTTAGACCAGGGTATCCTCTAGAGAGTTAGGCCCAGACAGCCCCCACCCCACCCCTCACCTCTTATTTAGATTCTGAGAGAAGTCACTCAGATTTGAAATGTGCGCAGCCCAACTGCAGCCCTGAGGGGCTCACATGCTCAGGATTGGGGTCCTGCCTCTGAGCATTCATATTGTTGATCCGCTGTCACGGAATCTGTTTTACCACCTGTCAGCTTCTTAGGGTAACTCTCTGGTCAGGTTGTTGTTGGTGGGGGTTGAGTGATTTTCAGCGTGGAGGTCTCAACTCTAGATTTCAGGGACCCAGTGGACTRTGACCCAGCCCCCTCCCCATTCCACAGGTGTGCCCCCCAGCTGCTTGGACTCTGGCCAGCCTCTTTCCTGATCCCAGGCATAGGCCTTCGGTAAAGGCGGTGAAGGCGGCCTCTAGGAATGAGGCCTCAAGGGTTGTGGGGTTTGCCTGGAGGGAAAGGCTGAGAGCCACGTCACTCCCTCCCCTCCAGTGCGCAAAGACACTACCGCTGCGGACCTGCCCCTAGTTCACCCTCCTTGGGACAGCCACGTCCTCGGAACTGAAGGCAAATCCTCAGATAAACCCCTTTTAGGCGAAAAACTCAAAAAACGAATGACTGCGAGGCCTCCGCTGCTCAGGAATTGCAGGATTGGCGCCCTGGGAGGGGCTCACAGTGAATGGGGCTTCATTCTCCAGCCCAGGCTGCCCGAAGAAGGGGAGTCGCCACCCAGAGGCGCAGCCGCCGTGCCCGACGCCTGGGACCCGCCAGGGCCTCCAGCCGCTGCTGCGAAAATCCCGGAAAGCGTCCACTTGCGGTGCTCGCAGTGGAAAAGATGACCTCAGCGCCCGGGGCCAGCCACCCTCCCCCGTAGCCTGGCAGCGAGGGGCTCTGGGCCACAGGGGGTTCTCTGCGCCTCGACGAAAGATGGGGGTTCCAGAGCACAGAACGTTCCCTCTCCGGTGCTCTGTCCCGGGGACTCCACATTTTCAACTGGCACCGGCGGGGCGAGGAGGAGAAGGGGTCTCCTCACCCTATTAACCGAAACTCTTAAGCACTGGTGTGCAGATTCCAGGCCCCCTCCCTCCTCCTGCACCCTCCTCCTGCCCCAGCGCCTCCCAGATGGCATTCTGGACCGGCTCCGGGGCGAAGGGGTCACAGAATAAAGACAGAGAGGCTGAGTACCCAAGGGGGCAACCCTAGGACAGGTCAGCGTCCAGCGTCTGGGGGCTTCCGGGTGGACCTCTTCTCCTGCCCTCCCAGAACTGCAGGCCTATTTCTTTGCATTTCCTCTCCTACCTGCCCTGGTTTTTTTGTTATCTTGCTTGGCCAAACGAAGTTGGGACCAGAGATGTAGGGAAGGTTTCTTTAAAACGGTCACCTCGCCTCTTGGTATAATCCTCCAAATAGCAACAGCCCAGCGGTCCAACAACTTCCTCCCAGTTGACCAAGAGGACCTCGATCTTTGAGCGGCCCGCCATAGAGCCCCGCGCGCCCAGGGCAGGTTCCCTTTTCCAGGGGCGCATCGCTAGCGCCCTTGAATGGCGCGGGCTCTTCCCCGTTTTCTTTCTTGAAGCCTGAGGTTCTGACTGCTCCTAACCAGGGGCAAGCTGGCGGGGATGACAGTGGTGGTGGCATTCGACGTGGGTAGAGGGCCTGTCTCGGTGGGGGCCGGGGGCTGCGGTCCGCGCCCTGCCCTTGTCTGGAACCGGGACTGGAGACTTCTGTTCTGCCTTCAAACAGGGTTGTCAAATTGCTCCGTCCCCAAGCTCGCAAGTCTCCCGGAGACCGCCAAACGTTTTCCTTTGGAGAAACCATTCTCTGTGACCCTTTTAAAATGAACATTTAGACGTCAAGCGTGGACTTTCGTTTTGAGTCATTTCAAATGTCTGGGAACCCGGAGGTCAAATCGTATTTGGGGCGACAGCGCCTTTGGATACATCCCCCTTTCCGTCTGTAGTTATTCCTATGAACTTGATCCTTTGGAATTGGTTATTTTTTGTTGTTTTATAAGGTTGTTTTGTGGTTTCATGTGTGATTCCCTTTGAAGTGTGAGTTTTAAAAGGTACACAGGTACATACGACTGCCTTCCAAGGCTGAGAAAACTCCAGGACCCGGTTCTTGGTGGCCAGGGTCCTGGGGCAGGCCTTGGCCAGTTCTTTCTCCATTTTACACCCACCCCTGGCCAGCCTGGGCGGGTCCCGCCGCGACCTCGGATCGGAGTCGGGTCTTGCGAACCCGCGGCGTTTGAGGCCACTTCCAGGACCAGGAAGTGGTGGCCGCTGGGTGCCGGGGCTCGCTGGGGCCGGGTGATGCGGGCCAGAGCTGCTGGGTGACGAAGATCTAGAGGACCCCCACCCGCTGTGAGACTGTGAGCACTGAACCCCGGAGATCTGCTGTGGCGCCTGGAGTGCAGTGCGGGGAAGGAGAGGTTTGACCGCTGGGGCGCAGGTTGGGGAGCTCAGTGCGGGAGCCGCCCTGACCTTGGGGCGGGGGCAGAGAGAGAGAGAGAGAGAGAGAGAAAGCCACGTGATGACCGCCTGGAGAGACCCTACTGGCCCCTTCCGGGCAGGTGCTTGTCGCCTACTTGCCACTTAGCTCGCACCCAGGACCTCGCCGGAGCTCTTGAGGCTGCGGGTGACCCTGTTCTGAGGCCGCACTTCGCCAGGAGCACACGCACACGACAGGCCGGCCGGCGGGAAGGGAGCAAGCTGCAGCGAGGCGGCCAGCTGTCGCCAGCAGAGGACACCCGCTTGGGAACGTCTCGCGCTTTTCTTTACTTTCCCTTTGCTTGCTTTCTTGTCTTTCTTCATCCATTTCC